CAACTTGCAGCTCACAAACAGTGAAGAATTGGTTGAGAATTTGAAGATGGAAGGTAACTTGGGTAATGGTGACCATGTAATTATAGCATTCATAATCCTTAAGGGATGAAGGGAGGAGAGCAGCAGAATAAGGACACTGGTTTTCAGAAATAGATTCTTTAATCAACTCAAGAAACTGGTAGGCAAGATTCCCAAGTGGCAAGTCTGAGAGGGGGAAAAGGAGTCCAGTAGAGCTGGCTGTACTCCAAAGAAGCCATATTAAGAGTGCGGGAGTAAGTTACTTTAATGCAATTGAAGAATAGGAGATGCCACAGGAGATCAGCCTGCTAGACAGTACTCTCCTTAATGAGTTGAACCTTGAAAAGGAATCCTACAAAAAGTGAAAACTTGACCACGTTACTAGGGAAGAGTATAAGAGTATCTCATGGGTTTGTAGGGGGAAAATGAGGAAAGCCAAGGCATGATTTGAGATGCAACTGGCATGGCATATACAAGGAAATAAAATGGCATTCTATGAGTATGTCAAAAGTAGTGGAAAACCAGGGAAACCATAGGTCTCCTATGGAATGCAGAAGACATTAGTTAGGGATGATGCAGAGAAGACTGAAATATTTTTACTTCCTCTTCACAAATAGGGTTTGGTACCAGATCGTGAGTAGTCAGCAGCAAAGATAGGGAAGGAGGTAAACAGCTTTGAGCAGTAAAAGAACAGGTTAGGGATTGCTTAAAGGAGCTAGATGCTTTCATTTGGGTAGGCCCAGATGCACCCTAAAGTGCTGAAGGAATTTGCCGAGGTAATTCCCATAGCCAATTCCATTGGCTATCCTCTGAGAACTTACAGAGGTTGAGTGAGGTCTGGATGATTGAAAAAGGGCAAATAGTACCTATCTTTCTCTTAAGACAAAAAAAAAAAAGACAATAGAACATGTCTTTAACAAACCTATTTCAAAACATCTGGTGGCTTTCAACCTGTGGTCCACAGACCCGGATAAAAATAGGATGGGTTTCAACATGGACAAGTGCAAGGTGATGCACCTGGGGAGGAACAACCGGCACCATACCTACAAGTTAGGGAACTCCCCTCTTGTCAGCATGGAGGCGGAAAAAGATCTTGGAGTCATCATTGACTCCAAGATGAACATGGGCCGGCAGTTAGGAAGGTCAACTGTACCTTGTCATGCATACACAGATGCATCTCGAGCAGGTCCAGAGAGGTGATCCTCCCCCTTTATGCGGCACTGGTCAGGCCGCAGTTGGAGTACTGTGTCCAGTTCTGGGCGCCGCACTTCAAGAGGGATGTGGACAGCATGGAGAGGGTCCAGAGGAGGGCCACTCGCATGATCAGGGGACTGCAGGGCAGGCCCTATGAGGAGAGACTACGGGACCTGAACCTGTTCAGCCTCCACAAGAGAAGGCTGAGGGGGGATCTTGTGGCCTGTTACAAACTGGTCAGGGGGGATCAGAAGGCATTGGGGGAGTCACTGTTCCCCTGAGCACAGCCAGGAGTGACCAGGAACAACGGTCACAAGCTAGCAGAGGGTAGATTTAGGTTAGACATCAGAAGGCGCTATTTCACGGTCAGGGCAGCTAGGGTCTGGAACCAACTTCCAAGGGAGGTGGTGCAGGCTTCTACCCTGGGGGTTTTTAAGAAGAGGTTAGATGAACCCCTTGCTGGGGTCGTTTGACCCCAGTACTCTTTCCTGCCATGGCAGGGGGTCGGACTAGATGATCTTCTCAGGTCCCTTCTGACCCTAGAAACTATGAAACTATGTCCCCTGGGGGTCTGCAGACTGTCTAAGGGATTTGTGAAAGATGACTATGATCAATCAAAAGTATTTGAATACACACACTTACAATTGAAAGGGGTTTGAGCCTCCATTCAGAAATTTTTAGGGGACTGCAAATTAAAGTTTTTTAAAACTGCTGACTAGACAATAATATGATGATCAGGAACAGCCAGCATGGATTCAGCAACAGGAAGTCATGCCTGACCAACTGGATTTATTTTTATGACCAAGTGACAGGCTCTGTGCATGGGGGGAGAAGAGTGGGTATGATATACCTTGACTTGAGCAAGGCTTTTAACACGATCTCCCATGATATTTTTATTAACAAGCCAAGGTAATACAGACTAGGTAAGTTCTGCAAGGTAGATACAAAACTGGTCTGATCATCCTGCTCAATGTGTAGAATGGCCACGGTTCTGTACTGGGTCTGGTACTGTTTAAAATCTTCATTAATGATTTGGACGTTGGGATTGAATACAGGTTTAGCAGATTTGCTGATGACACCCAGTTGGATGGAATCGCAGACACTCTGGAGGGCTAGGATCTAGAATAACTTGGATAGACTGGAGAAGTGGTCCATAATCAATCAGATGACATTCAAAAAGGATGAGTGCAAAGTGCTACACTTTGGACAGAATAGTTGGATTCACAGATGCGGGAAATCAGTCTTACCTGCATTCAAAAATACAGACTGGAGAGTGATTTCTTGGTTCTCAGCAATACTGCAGCCTAAGGATCTGTGGGTTACAATAGACCACAAGCTGAGTATGAGCCAACAGTGTGATCTTATTGCCAAAAAAGTCAACATCATACTTGGCTGTGTAACAGGAATCTCACTTGCAAATCAAGGAAAGTGATTCTTCCTCTCTATTTATCACTCTTGAGGTCTCACCTGAAGTACTGTGTACAGTTTTAGACCCCATACTTTAAGAAAAACTTGGGCAGATTGGAAAGAGTCGAGCTGAGAGTGACAAAAATGATTAGAGGCCTGGGAAGCATGACTTATGGTGAAAGGCTGAAAGAGAGAGGGCTATTTTAGTCTGAAGGAGAGAAGACTGATGGGAATTTGATAATAGGTTTCAAATATGAGGAGGGTAGTTAGAGAGGTTGGAGATGGTCCTTTCTTTGTGGCTGTATTGGACAAGACTAGGAGCATTGGCTCCAAGCTTCAGCATAGGAAATTGATGTTGGACATTAGGAGGAACTTTTTTACTATTAGGGTGGTCAAGCATTGGAACAGGCTATCTAAAGAAGTTGTGGAATCTCCTGTCTTGAAAGTTTTCAAGATCCGGTTACTTCCTTGGGTTAGTTTAGTTGGGGATGGTCCTGTTGAGCAAAGGGCTGGACTGGATGACCTGAGTAGTTTGCAGTTATGTTCATTTTAGACCTAGCAACAATATGTATAAAGAACTTTTTTCATTACAAATATTTTGTCACATTAATACATTAGAATATAACTTGATTTTTTAAAGTGTTTGAAGAACATTTTGGAAGTAAGGATTGTTTGCTCTCTGGCTTCTTTCACAAAGAACATAATCTTTGTAAAAACTATAGCCAGTTCAGGGGTAGATGCCATTCCTCATTAACATAGCCACTGCAGGCACAGATTCTTCCTGAAAAATAACAAGTTGGAAGGAATGACATCATTATATGGCATATCAGTACATCCTGTTGCATATGTAATGTACTTGATGTAAAATCTCAAGGTCAAGGAAATGAAAAGCAAAATCATGAACATACTCCCTTCCTTTTTCTCCTTCACTTCCTCTTCCACGAGACATTCATCTCAGTTTGTGCAGAATTGACCTGCTTCCAGGGCAGTGTTGCAACCTCAGTTTTGCAGCATTTAAGGATGCCAGCCTTCCCCCACACCTTTCCCTAAACTTGAGTAAGATTTCCCAGAACCAAGCAGAGGTCCTCGTTAGATGGGAAGGAGTCTGGTTTGTTTGATTTTCATGGCAGGAGGCATGATTGTGGGATAGTGCATTAGATCTAACTGTGCCTTCTTGCTGGCACAGGGGGAGCTGGATCCTGGTCTCCCCTTGCATCCACAAAAAGCAGGCTCCCACGTTGGGTAACCTCCTTTGTTAAGGGGGCTTCCAGCTGCAGGGATCACGCACAGCTGGGACCGACAGCTCCATCAGCTGTGGGATCTGTAGCCCCCACATCTGTGTAGTGCTGCTGCAGTCTCCCAGCTGTGGGGGGGGTGTGGAGCACCCCATGGATAAGAGATACCAGTGGCTGGGAGATTCCAGTAGCTGCAGTCTCCCAGCCACAGATTGCCTACACATGCATATTTAACCTGGATAGAAACCAGCTATAAAGATATTACACATATTTGAGCAATAACTTCATAGCTGGTTGGCCATTTTTAAGATGCAATAGTTAGTTTGCATGTATAGCCAGTCCAAATTAATTGTGCAATTAAGAAGGTAACTGGGCAATAGATATAATGTATAGAAGGGGCCTTAAAGCATGGCCTTAAAAACCTGGGGGAATTAAACATGTGTTTAAGTGCTGACCTGATTACTATACTCACCAAGTATGGTCTCTTTCTCTTCACTTTTATGGAACAGGTCTGATCTCAGTTAGATTTATTTTTATACACTGAGAGATGCATTGTAATATGAGATTCAAATTTGTATTTAGTCAGTAAATTAAAAAAACAAGAATGACACCAAATGTTTTAGATGCAAATTCATATTAACTATAATTGTAGTAAAATGCCAGAAATCCCATGCTGTTGCTCAGAACAATACTTCCTTAAGTAGCTTATTTATTTAAGTTCTTACCCAAAAAAAAGATTGTAATTGCTTCCAGGCATTTTAGTTTTGTTGTGGCTGCACTGGTAGTCCATGAGGATTCATGTACTAACTGCTAGACAAACACAGAGGACAGTTTCTTCTCTGAAGGTCTTCCAGTTTAAATCCCACTGAGGACAATAGTCTTTTAGTTGATTTCAGCTGGTCCCCAAAGTGCTTATCTCATATTTATCTACAATATCTTGAAGACTTGGGTCAGGCTTGTACCCTTTGGGTCATAATACAGATGTACATTGTATACTGTATTGAAATTTCATGAAAATTATGCTCCATTTTATTTCTTATTTGAATTAAAATTAAAACATTTATTACATTAATTTTAGCTGACTGTTCTTATTTGGTTGTCATTTTCAATTAACCTATTTATGAATTTATTATGTTTCTTTTTCAGAATATTGAGGAATGGAATATTGCCCATCTCAATACGATACTGGATGTCGTAGGAGAAGATTGTGGAATTTCTATTGAGGGTGTAAATACCCCGTATCTCTATTTTGGCATGTGGAAAACAACATTTGCATGGCATACTGAAGATATGGATCTCTACAGTATTAATTATCTCCACTTTGGAGAACCGAAGTCATGGCAAGTTTAAACTTTTTATGAAAGCTTATTTTGAATTATGGTCCCTGTTTGTGGCAGCTGGATAAGGCAAACAGATGAGGTAGACTTAACTACTTCATGGTGATGGGTACTTCTTTAAGGCCAAGATAATTCAGCTCTGGTGGGTAGCTGAGAAAGCAATGAAACTTGAGGCTTGTGAATGAAAGAGGAACGCTTTAGTGACAACTTTACTGAAAAAATGGCTAAAAAAGAAATGTTATGTTGAGTTCAACAGAAAAAAATATTTATGAATATTTAAATAAAAGGAATACTTTGCATCAGGAGACCCTGGGTATTTGAGAAGGGTATTCACTGAGGTCAGTAGGGCAGGTTTGGTCTTAAGCACATCTTAAAGTATGGGACCAGTTCCATGAGACTATTTAGGGGCCATGTGCTCAACTTCTAGTTGAATGGGGGTGGTATTATCTGTTGCTGTCCAGTGGAATTAATAGGAAAAGAGATGGTAAAGTGTAGTCTCCTAGACACCACCAACATAGTCAGAGATTCTCCCTTACGGTTTCTTAACTGAATAGCGTTTTGGTGGTGTAAGTAGGTGAAAGTATCGTGTAGTGGGATGGTCTAAGCTGTTATGATGTGGTGGGTATGTGTGTGTGTGAGTGCTCAGACAAAATATATTGTTTGAAAATATTGTTTACCAGAACCTTAAGTGCAGGTAACTGGTTTATTTGTTGCTTTATGCCATCTTAAAGCTTCAAATGATGCAAGTCACCACCTCAATGTTGTTAAAATATTTCTGGCCATCCAGATATGATAGTGATAATTTTAGCAGACAATGTTCAATTTATGGTGGTGTATTTAGTTGCTTTTAGGTGAGTACAAAGGAGAAAGATGTAGTGCATTTAAAATATGTGACATGATAAACTTGAAAAGTGGTCTTTTCTCTCTATGCTGAAATGTTAGTATGTTGATCTGCTTGATTCTAATCCCACAGCTCCGTGTTTGCATGCAGAACAAAGGTGCTGTTGTTAAAATCTGCATTAATATTGAGAAGCTAAATTTGCAGTAATATTGAAAGTTAAATTAGGCTTGAGTTAGCAGAATTATGTTGCTGAGTTTAGCATCATTTAATGGTATGCTTTGTAGAAAACGATTGATTTTATAAATAGAGATTTTTTTTGTCAGATACAGCAGTGATAGATCCATTAAAAACTTACTTAAAGTTATTTTACTTAAACAGATATCATATGATACTTATCAAAAAGTGATAAAAAGAAAAACATATTTTTAACTGGTATTGTGGTTGTACAGAGATGTTTATTTTGGACCCAATGTACATGAAGGCTGTTAGGAGACTAATTTTTGCAACACTTCTTAATACTGCAAGAGTGCACCTACCCAAAATATTTGCTTAATATTGAGCAAAATTCAAATAAGTGTGTTTCAAAGTATTTTAAAGTTTACTTTAATATTATTAATGCCCTCTGTTCCAGATCTGTGCTCACTCTTCATATTAACCATGGTTTAAAAAAAAAATTGAGTGAGCCTGAAAAAGATAGGGTGGGTACTAAATTAGTTTGTAACATTTAGAAGTTAACTGACAGGTCATATTTGGGCCAGTATATTTAGTCTTTGTGGAAGAGGAATAAAAGCTTTGCGTAAAATAAGGACGCAAAGAAGAGTTGCCATTTTAAGGTTTTATTTCTTTTTAGAGGGGGGAAGGGGAGGGGATTCCAGCAGAAACATTGCTGGTGTGAAAGAACCTGAACGTGAAATTGGCTAGCAATTAAAACGAGTCAATTTCATAGTCCAGTCAGAGAAAAATGTACAGTACAAGAACATGGCCGTTTCAGTATAAGATGTAAAAGGGAATGGCTGTTTGTATGACAGAATAAAGCTGATGTGCAGTATGTTATGCTGGGGGGGTTTGTCTGGCCTAATTAATTGAGAAATTTTGCTGTCTGCCCTGTGGTCTAAACTGTTGAACTGCGTTTGGAGTCAAATGCCTGGCAGAAAGCAGACACGAGTACATCATCTTTGTGAAGCTGCTAATAGAAGTAATAATGACAGGATACAGTACAAAATATGTAAGAGACCTGTGTAGATATTGCATTTGAGTCTCCAACGTAAAATATCTGAATATGAAACCAAAAGTCTGTATAGGGCCATTAAATATTGGGAAACACTTTAGGTGCCTTTAAGTATCTGAAATCAGAGTTTATTTTTGTTGCTATTTTGCTGCTGTTGTTTTGTTGTTGCTGTTTATTTGACTACTAATGTAAAATAGTGGCAATGACGGACGCTTCTCATGTCAAAAGGATTAAAATGATATAAATGTTGTTGAAGAATATTAGTAAAGACTATGTGATATGGCTGATTAAACAGGAACAAAGCAATTATTTTTGTAGGCTTTGTGAGTACTTTGAATGAAAAGTAATAAAGCTAGTTTCATTTTATGTATGTTCCAGTTTACACGTGTTCTCTTTATTTAATGCTGTATTTTAGATAGAATTTTTTAAAAATCATTACTAATTTTGAATGTGGGTTTTTTATGATGGAGATTTGGTTTATTTTCCCTATACAAAGTCAGCTCCTTCACCGGGCCTTAAAAAGGACAGAGTATAAATTGACATGACCAGACAAATAGATAAATGGTAGAGACATTTGTAGACATTGTTCAATTTGTAGAGACATTTTCAATGACAATTCATCTTCGCTTCACATGGTAACTGTTGTGAATGGACTGGAAATGATTGGATAATACATTACTATACAGGTTTCTGCTCTAGAATGCATTTCATACATCATATCACAAAACTCTTTCTTTATAGAAGGAGTCAATCAGAAAAGAAAGGGAAAGGTAAGTTGTAGAAAGGGAAAGTGACTGTATTGCTGAGTCAGGAAAACAGACCCAAGAACTCCAGGAAGGTGAGATCCAGGAGGCCAGCATTAGAGCAGCTGGATGAATTAACCTGAGCTCAAGAGTTAAATGGATAAGAGGACAGAAGATGGAACAAAGCAGGTCGTTGGTGAGCTTTAAAAGAAAGCAAAAGACTTTAAATTGGAGTCTTAGGTTACCAGAAGCCAGTGCTGGTTTCCGGGAAGACCTGGGAGTACATTTTCTAGAGCCAGAAAATACGGTGGTTTCACAAACACAGATCCTTTGAAAATACCACTGAGTTCTGCGAAGAGAATGGGAGTGCAGTGCAAATAGAATTGTGTTAGAGCTGAAACACTTATTTTGTCTGTCATGGGCTTCCCTGCTGGCTTTTGTGCCACATGTCTGGAATCCGGATGTACTTGGAGAAGCACCTCTCCAGTTGCTGGAAGTGAGAGGAAGGTTGTGAAAAGCTGGATGAACTTTGTAGATCTGTAGGTACTTTACAGCAGTCTCAGATGAAAATGGTTTAAATTGTGAATGTGGGTTTTAAGGAAAACTGCTTAAATTAGGACAAAATTCACAATGTTTTAGAACTGGTGATGGACAGATATTTATTTACATAATTGAAGTGGGGGAGAGCACATTCAGGATGATACCCAAGATTTCTGGCTTTGGCAATAAGGTTGTCTGAGGTAAGAATAGATGGTAGTCAGATGGGGTACAAGAGGCATATCACTCAGGAAGAGGAACTATTTTGCCTTGTCTCTGTCAGCTGCTTGTTGCATCAAACATCCCACTAATGAAAGACTGAAAAGCAAGAAACTAGGTAGGTGATGCAGAGATTAAAGTGAGCGGAGGGAACTATAGAGTTTCGTGTCATCCTTGAAGAAATGATGAAAGCAGCTGATAACAATGACATCTCATACAGGAAAAAAGAGTGTAATGCCTGTTCCTAAGTTATGTTTTATAGTTAGGAAAAATAAAAATATAAGAAAACAGAAGGACTAAGGATGGAGCCTTGAGAAATGCCTCGCTGTGTAGCATTGGAGTAATGTACACTTTTTTTTCAAAGGAAAATGGTTAAACTGAAACTGGCAGAAGAGAGTACCAGGTTCTTGTTTATATTTCTCAGGAAGGTTACTAATAAGTATTGCCAGAAGTCACAGAATTCTGGTGATAAGAGAAGGGTGATCAGAAAAAAAAATCCAGTTCACTAATTTGTCTAGGAAAAGAATCAACATCCAATTTGAAATCATTTGGACATGGTGTGCCATAGAATGTGATCTGAAGGGTGGGAGAGCAGAACTTTGCTGTGGGAGACTTTGGAAACCTAATAGCTCTTGATGTGTGAGTAAACAAAAATACTGCATTTGATGATTTGAGAACTGATAATAGCAGTTCTTTCAGCAAGGCTTGTAAGTTCAGGGCTGATAAACGGTGATTAGAAAGGTGGGGGGAACAAAAGATAAAACCTAAGTTTTGTGAGGAAGTCTAATGTGAATGTATCCTTTTGCTCTTGGATATGAATTTGTTTGTGACAATTTTGGAATGGGTGGAGACAGCAAAGAGAAATCAAAATGGGTGGATTCTAAGGCACTGGGCGCACAGCAGTAAATAGCTTAGTATTAACATCTGCAGTCTGCTAGTTAAGTTTGCATGAAATAGTGAGCCAGTGATCTGGGATCAAGCCCAGAGCATTTGAGTCTCCAAGGATTTGATATGAAGGATGTAAACTATATGTTGTAGAATTTGGGTGGGGGCAGGGAGAGAAGCTGGAAGGTGACCTCAAGAAGTTCTCTCAGGGTACAATCTTCCTTATCCTTATTTCAAGTTTTCTAAACAAACATTTTTCTAACCTGCATCTAAAATCTTTCAGTGATGGGGATTCTGTAGCCTCTTGAGGTACTCAGTTTAATCACCATGATAAGAGAAAGTTCTTCATATTTAGCCTAAATCCCCTTTGTTATAATTTATGTCCAGTCTTCCCTGTTCTGCAAGCAGTTGATTACCATTGTTTTTGGATACAGATCTTTTTGTATTTGAAGGCTGGTGCTGGTCCCCACTCAGTCCTTTTTCCTGCAGACTAAATAATACAATTTTTAACCTTTCCTCATGTCATGTTTTCTTTATCTTTTAATTGGTG